CGGATCAGTGTATCATCTTCATTGATTCACAGGAGCCAGGCAAAGGTACACCAGAAGAATTGCAGGCCCTACCCGTTACTCACCACCCGGTCTTCCAGCACTTAGAGAAGATGCAAAAGGGACCGTCCCTCCATCCCGTCTCTGCTATTGGGAAGCAGGGGAGCTTGGGGTGACTTTCTTTTAACTTTCATAACCGTCACCATCTTACTAACTGTTAGAAGCATCACGGCATCCTTCCTTGGTCAACGAAGAGGGAACTTTTCCAGAAATTAGTAACCAAATTTAGGTGTTTAATCCTTAGTTAGACACTTGAATTATACATTCAGCAGTTTATTGTGGATGAAAAACAGACAGATTTTACATATGTGCAGAAGTTTGCCACATTAACTCAGGTGTGGAAAAGCAGCAGAGAAATAAATAGGGAAAAACTAGAACTCTAGAAAAATCTTTTAATTCAGATTTCTGGTATATGAATCTGATCAAAGGCATATCAGCTTTCCAAAGAATTTTGTTTCACATGTCCTGGATACTATCTCCAGTACTAAAAGGGTAAATTTTTATTAATAAAACAAGAAGGAATATTGAGTGTGAATCTACTGTGAGAAGGTATTACATGCTCTCTCTAAATTTCATTTGAGCTCTGTGGCTTGTATCAAATCCATTTTAGAAATAATATAATAAATTGAAGATAAGACTCATGCTACCATCACGATGTTTTCAAAATATTGAGCAAACGATGCAAAATTTATGAAATAGCATATAAATGTTTCCATTTAAATGATCTAGTTTCATAAAAATGATTCCACAAAAATGAATTTTTCCATAAGAAGTGGAACTGTTTTCATGTTAAAAGGAGACAGAAGTTGGACACAGATTTTTAAAAGAGAGAAAATTGTATGTGGGTAGCCTGAAGATTTGATAAATGGCCATTAGGCAAAGATGAACCAACTTGGAGGAAATACTAATTCAGAGTGATCTGAACCTGAATCTGAAATGTACAGGAAGACGTGACCGTGCTATTAAAGGTGAGCTCCAATACTGATCTATATGAATATTAGAATGGTGAAGTCTCAAATTATTAAAGACTTATTACATATTTCCTTATTACAGGAAAGCATAAATATAAGTTTTAAGTAATCTGTAAAGGAGGGCTTAAGAATCTTGCGCAAATCTACATGCAATGTTATAGTCTCAACATTCCTAGAATAAGTTTGAAAGATGGAAAAAGGAGTTCTTTGAACTAAGAATCAGTGATTAACTTCCTAGAGCAAACTGCTTCAAGGAATAATAATGTAGGTTGAATAAGAAGAATTGGTGCACGGGGTTCATGAATAAAGCAAATACATTTGATTTCCAGTCTGGCTGAGACTACAGGAGGTTTGAGGTCCTTGTAGGGGAAGCAGAGCATCGCCAAGAACTGCCAGCCCCTCCCTACATGTGTCCTCAAGGAATGCATTACTGAATGCACTACGCAGAGGCTCAGCCTCCTCTCACGCCAACAGAAATTGTTATTTTGACTCTTCATGAAATTCTTCCAAATATTGTGTCAGGATGGGAGGGAATTTGAGTCTTGTCCTCTCTTTCAAGAGCGGATGGGAAGGTCCAACACAGCAAACAGCAGACTGGAGTTGGAGCATGCCCTCCAGAGAGGGTTCCAGTCATCAAATGTTGGTGGAGCCGTGTGTTTTAAGGTCTCTTTGCTATAAGGGTCTTTTGCCTCTTTGGCATAGGCCTCGCGAGCTGGGTGACTCAGAAGTGACGTTTCTGGCAGTTTCCCCAGAACTGCTGCAGACAACAGAGCTCCCCAGTCTCACAGCAACACACTTGATGAGTGCCTGGAATGCTCCAATGTGGAGACTTAATCAAAATCCTCATTGAAATCTACTGTTAATTTGTAATGTAATAATGTCTTTAAACCTTCCTAGTTGTTTTTCTGGGCAGTCTGAGAGTGCCTATATCTGACATGCACACGTCCTCAGCCAGCATGGAGTAACGTGTGTCTGGCGCTAATGCCCATCGACCAGAGCAGGCAGGATGCTTGGCTACCAAGGCGGTGATCCAGGCTGGGATGGGAACTGCAGAGAGCCCTAACAGGTCACGTGGGAGGACTTATATTGGTCTTACTTTCTTGGTTTTTTTTTTTTTTAAAGTGGGGCAACTGCAAGCTGTGCATGAGAAATGTGGGGGCTGTGGGCCTTGCTGCTGCCCAGCCGCATCATGTCCTGCAGGCAACAGTGCAGCCGCAAGGGAGGAATATGTCTCTGAAGTGTCCCCTTCGTCCTTGGGAAGGCATTGCATCCCATTTCTGTTTCTGGTGTGAGATATGGTGTTTTGGGGGGTTGTATTTCCCTGGAGAAGAAAGGAGCATTTCTCTAAATGTTATATTTGTACAGTAAGGAAAAACAACATGGGATGTTTTCTTCCTTTCCTTAGAAAATTGTTGTGTTGTGAAGGCAGCATGAGCAGCCTCATCCGTCTCTGTCTGCTTACTGCTCTTGCTTACTGTGCTGATAACAGGTATGATTGCTAAGTCCTTGTGAGAGAGGGACTGTGGCCAACCCATATTTCATTCATCCTTAGCGCGTAGCTAAACTTTCCATGGATATTTAAAACGACTGCTTTTAATCCTTAGCGCAGCTAAAAGGTTTATGGGTTCTTACTCAAGAAGCAAAGCAGTTTGGTGCAAAGCAGTTCTGATTTATTTTACTTGTTTGCCACAGCTTGAAAACTGAGTAGTCCAAAGTTCTCATTTTTAATATGCTTTCAGCTGGAATGAATGGCTCCAGTGAAAGTAAAGGATGTTGTGCAGCTACTGATGCCTGACTGCTTTTTCCAGATTATTCTGTCCTCAGGCTGTAGGGTTCTCATCTGTGTAATACTATTAGCTTTTTTTTTCTTTTTTTTTTTTGCTTTTAATATTGATAAATTATATCAACCCCGCAGGATTGATTGTTTGGTTAATCAAAGTCCTTAGCTAGTAAATAGGTAGAGGTTTGCCTGATAGTGTGATCATTTCTGAAAAGCTGTGCCTCTTGGAATTGCAAACCTTTCTGCCCTCCCTTGCTTCTTTAATGCCTCTGTTTTAATTGTCTCCATTGAGCACGCTTTCAAAGTAGCAGTGAAGATGTTTCCTAACTCCCATTGCTTTACCTTTCCTTGTCCTATGTGAAAAAGAGAAAGAAAAAAAAATGCAAAACTAAAAGTAAGAAAGTATAATGTGAAACTCATATTCCTCTTTGTGCTTTCCTACTTTCCCTCCAGGCCAGCTTACATGATTTCCCTCATGCAATCCATAGCAGCCCTAGTCCCACTTCTTCACTGAAGTCCTAGTCCCACTTCTTCACTTCACATAATCGAATATATTCGATTATCAGAGAGGAATTAGCTTTCTGTTCTGCATCAGTGTAAACTGAAATGAGAGAGAATTGGAGAGGGATTTTTTTTTTTGATATTTAGAGTTCATAAGTTTACTGTCCATGTTTGTTTGCTTGTTTCCCTTTCCTGCTCCCATTGCTATAAGGCATGATAATAATTGGGTTTTAGTATTGGATAAAAATTGGGCATTTTTATGGATTGCAGCTGAAAATGTATCTATCTTCCTTGTTTTTTAGTATGTGTTTTGTAAAGTGGTGGTGAATTCAACTTGCACTGGAATGTGTTGTTTCTAGGGGTGGTAGATCTGAAGATTGACAAGTAAAATGCAATGGGTATTAAGTGGTCTGTCCCAAGGCAAGTGTTCACAACTCTCGGACTAGAATCCAAATTATCAGTAAAAAAGCATTCCATGTCTGCTGTTTTTGGATCCTTTGGTGCACATTTGAAGTTTCTCTTCTCATCCAAAAAGACTAAAATTACCCTTGGGGTTGGGGGTAGGAAAGCAGAAATTTTTCCTTGGCTTCTGATTGTGGTATTTAGCTAGGCTGGACTTTGTTCTGTCCTTTATGTCCCTATAAAGGATGGGATGTGTGAATCACAGCTTGGAACTCAGACTTCTGCTTCCCTTTGCACAGCCTTGAACGTGTAAGGCGATGAAAGAGCAGACATCTTCATTCTGTGCTGTCTTTGCACGTCTTCTGGAGTTGGGAATATGTCTGTGATTCTGTGTGTTCGACAAGGCACAGCTGCACTGGCTTTAATGGGGGTAGAGTTTGAAGTTAAAGTGGGACAAGGGGCCACTGGTCTCTCTACAGTTCCTTCGTTGTAAGGGCATGTGTTGCAAGATTGTTAACTTGTTTTTAGGACATCTAATAGCAAAAAAAAAAAAAAAAAGACAATGCTGTTGCTACATGAATTAGTATTATGCTCTGCTACATGGATTAGTTTTGCCTGAGATTCTGAAATAGAAATAAAAAGTTATCTTCAAATGTATTTTCTCAAATTTTCCACACTGAAAATGATATTCTATAAGAAACTTTAATTCTGTCAGAGAATAAACATGTGATCTATCTCAACAAGGCTTTTAATCCAGACTATAGAAAACTCCCTGCAGTTTGCCTATGTTGCAAATTGTCTACTAGGATGTGTGTGATGGGAGGCCTGGGGAGAAAAGATATAATAGAAAATGTTCTATATTTTCAAGCAGTTGGGCTTGTGATGAACAGGTTGAATGGGCAGTCTGCAGGCTGGAAAGCACATCTGCTTAAAACGTGTTAAATTTTAGTTGTTTATTTTAACAACATATTTGTGGGAATTATGTTCCCTTCACAATCCGTTGCTAAATTAGGACACAGTCTGGGAATGCTTGTGCATCGGGGCAGTTTTCTGTAAATGAGTGGTGTTGCTGAGTTCAGTGAGAGCAGTCATGCACTGAGTTAAGCACATGAATGAGGGTTTGCAGAAATTTGGCAAATATGTTGTCATTGTGAACAGATTGCTCAGCTTTGCTTCTAATGCTTCCATAAATTCTTGGCTTGGTCCTGTTTTGAGTAGCCTTTGCCACGACCATAGGCTGTTTTATTATGCTGAGTCTAACTGACACTATTTCTCTTATTCTGTCATAGCAACAAGAGCAAGATCCCACAAATCTATACATCTCAAATTTACCTGTTTCCATGGATGAACAGGAACTGGAGAATATGCTGAAACCTTTTGGACACGTAATTTCCACCAGAATATTAAGAGATGCTAATGGAGTCAGCAGAGGAGTCGGCTTTGCCAGGTGAAACCCTTACTCTATCATCTGATTTATCCTTTTCTTTTTCTCTTTTTTTTGATTTTGGTCTTCTGCAAATGCTGTCTGTTCTGTAAGTCTGAAGCCTTATAGCCATGGAAAATTCAGAGCAGCAGCTTTATCAGACTGTGTGCCTCTTCTTTCCACCGAGCTGAAGAATATCAATGCAAAAGCATGGTCATTAATTGCTCCAAAAATAGTTCATTCTAAGTATGTACATAGCAATAAAGATCTCTAGGAATAGTGAGCTATCCATGCAGTATCAAGCTTGGATAATAGTAAATGACCTACAGCCAAAAGCATGCACTTGGTTAAGGAACCTTTTAAATGTTTAGCAAAGATTTTGTGACAAAAAAAGGTAAATTTTTCAGTTGGAAGAGCAAAGGAGAGGAACTGTTAACTGAAGGAGCATGGCTTCCTTGAAAATGGCAAGGAGCCCAAACTTATAAAAAAACAAAAAGAAGAAATATTTGCATACAAGTCCTGATGGAGCACTAAAATATTTTTGACTGAACGGGCAACGTTTTGTTGCAGTGCATTTCATTGTCAGTTCAGAAAGACAAGCTCCCATGTTTACTCTTGGGGAATATTTGCATAGATTCTCTTCATCTAGAAACACTCCTAAATTAAATAGTTTCCCTTTCAAAAGGTAGGGAAGAGAGATCTATCTATAGAAAAGGACAGAAAAACAGTGAGAAGAGAAATTCGTAACTGTGCTGCAAATCAATCCCCAGGTCAGTGTTTTTACTGAGCTTTGTAACATTGTACTTTGTAAAGCAAGTGAAATGACTGAGTCATCTTGTGATTTTCTTGGGAAATATACTGTGTCTTGGTGAATCATGGAGTTTCTGCTAGTGTCCTGACACCACTGAGTAAAATAGGGTAATGTATGATGAATAGGTAGCCTGCAAAGGTAGCTGACATCGTAGTGTTACCACTGTCCTTGATTTAAAAGCTCATCATGCATAGAGACTGTTAAGATAATACTGACTGAATTCAAAAGGAAAAATCAGAACATTTATGCTTTTTGTTCTTTATGTATTACACAGTTAATGGCATCATTTTTTTCTGGCTTGCTAAATATAGATTTGTATAATTCAAGGATAAACTTGCTTTTTACAAGTTGGCTTTGTTTGTAGGAATGTAGTTAATTTTGTAACTCATTTCAAAAACAAGCATTTTATGACCTAACATGAAAGTTGGGTAATTCACCAGGCAGACGAGAGAGGGGGAAAACTTTGGCTCCACTGAAGAATACAGCAGAACCTGACTTGAATGAGGTCAGAATTTCTCAAGAAATTCATAGCCATAGTTGGACCTTGACTCTTAACTTTGCCTTTGTTTTACTAGAATTACCAGTATGATCTCGAATTACCTGACCAAATAATCTTCTTTTTCTGGTCAGGTTCTATTCAGTATCTTTTTTTTTTGTGGTTCCACTGAAGAATACAGCAGAACCCGACTTCTATTCAGTATCTTTTTTTTTTGTGGTGTGTTACTCCAAATAGATTATTTTGTTTAGCTTTGCTTGTAGTCATGGAGGGTTCATTCTAGTGCATCTACAGTGTGAGCACATGATAAGTGACTATAAATACAGTACAGCTAAGGGGTGGCAGCTGTGTTTCAATCCAGATAATATTTCAAAAGCTCAGATCAGCAGCCACAGTGGTGATCTTGACCATTACATGTTCAGATGTGGGGCCTTTTTACACACTGGAGCTGCCCATGGAGTTGCTCCATGCTCTTCAAGTACCTGTAGAAACACGGATAGACAAAGTTAGCTTTAGGAAAGGGGACTAGGAATATGGAGGGCAATGCTTAACGTCCTCCTGAAGATATTTTTGCTGTCACTCATGAAGACATAACTATATGCTGAAAGACCTGGCTTTCGACAGGCCTGCAAAATACTAATTCCAGGTCTCAAGTTGGAAGAAGATAAATAAGTGACACAGGCAAAGTGGATCTAAAGCTCTGGTGAAATTCTGATAAATGAGAGGGAAAATATTCGGAGAGGGAGATTTCTGAGGGTCTGTGATGATGCTACTTTGGAGGCAGAAAACTGTCAGCAGCACCATGGGATAGAGAACAGCCTGGTAGTTTAATGATGCATTTGTGAAGAAGGAAGATGCTTTGTCCTTCCTTATTTGAGGGTTTAATTGAAGACAGTTGAAAAGATGCTATAAAAGGTGCTATAAATTTAACTTGGACAAATCCATCATCTGGTAAGGCAGTGCAGGTTTAGATATTATGAGGATCATTCTTACTTTCAGTCAGAAAAATGATCTGTCAAATCCTGTATCTTACGCAGGAAATTGATTTATAATTGGATATCTCAGATGAAACTAGAAATCCCAAACATACCACAAGACTTTGTGCGGTATCTGTAAAATATTCCAGGGTCTGTGGTGACAAATTTCCATTGAAAGGCCTCCTTGGAAGGGGCTCATAGCAACACTTGCAAGTCCTGTGATAGGAGAGTGTCATCTTGAGAATCTTGAGAGCCTCAAATTTCCATCTGGTGCTGTGTCCTGTCCCAAATTTTGGTAGAGTCACTATATCCGTGAAAATATTGCTAAAACTGGAGCTGCACTTCCAAAGAGTTGCAAATCCCCAGAAAGGGACAAGTGGGGCAGGATCTCAGGACAAATATTAATTTGTGCATATATCAGTGGGATCGCATAATATGAAAACGGGTATGAAACTCTTACAGGTGAAGAGATAAGAACTGGGCAAATTAGGAGCCATCAGGTGATTTGGCTGAGCAATTTTGATAAGCTCTCCGTACAGTTTAATTGAAGAACTCCACAGTGTGTGCACACCTTGGGGTACAGAGACATTGGGATGTATGTCAGGGAGGGACTTCCTGATACCACTGAACCAATGAAATAATAAAAACTTGTCTTTAGAACCCCACAATAAAATGCCATTAAGGTATTATTTGAGAACCTTCCCTACAGAGTTAGTAATATAAATAATGCTATGCATACATATACCACATTCAACTGAACAGCAGAGCAAGCATTTTATAGGTCCTTTTAAATGATAAAGTGCAAGGAAAGTGTTAGAAACCACTAACTTTTTTTATTTTGTTTGCTGTCTTGTAACTTAAAACGACCTTGCAAGATTCAACCCCCAAGCGACATTTTACAACAAAGTCATAAGCCTTTGAAAACAGAAATTTATGATGGAAATGCTGACAGTCAGACAGTCAAGTATTGCACTGCTGGCGGGCACCAGTATAATACTTAACCCCAGAGTATGAAGACAGTAGCATAAATCAGCCTGAGTCTAGGTAGAAATGACTGTGCTCATACTATTCTTTTCCAGTAGCATGAGAAAATTTGTCCAACGTAAAATGTTATAAAAGAATGTTACGATGCAGTTCCATGGAACGACCAAAGTCGAGAGGTTCTCAGTTAGTTCCTCTGTCGCCACAGAGGGAAAGGAAGTATTGAGGAGATAGGCCTGCCTTCTTGACAGACTTGGGGGCATCCGTAATGGGGAATTCACCTGTTTAGTTGTTTGGAGCTTTGGCTCTATTCTTGTCTTATGGTTAAAGCTCTTTTGGTAGAGCTTTTAATAGGATGTTTATCTCTGCCTTCATGTGTTTTTTATTAAAATTTTCTCATGCTTATCTGCATTTTACATGTATTAGATTTAGTCTTTGGAAATATTATTTGACACAGTGACTGAAAGTGAGCAAGAGAAAATGAGAAAACAGATTTTGAGTCCCACTCAGGATCATTATCCATTTATGCAGGTTTTACATGGATTTCAGTAGAAATGAATCTGCTTCAGACTTCTTTGAAGCAAAATGAGAGCCTAGCCTTTAATTTGTGCATGTTTCTCATTAAAGGAAGCTTTGCATCTTTCAGGGTTTTTCTGGGTAATTTAGGTGTCATTTAGTCAGGACAACCTCCTGTTGTTCATGCTAACTGAAATGAATGTGAAGAATATACAGGCAAGATGTAGTGGAAAAAGATAGAATTTATGCAAAATAAGGGGAACTTGTCCACATGAATATTGTTTCCTAGTCTATAAATTGCAAAGGGAATAGATTTTCCATCATAAAAAGTCTATAAAGTGCAAAGGGAATAGATTTTCCATCATAAAATAGATTTAAACCAAACAGTATAGCCATCTTGAAGCAATCTCTTACCAGTTGAAAAGATGGGGACACAAGATGCCTGAATCAGTTAAAGAAGGAAAAAAAATCACAGATTGTGGCTATATTACAGCTTTTGAATGCCAGAAATTAAATCAGCAAAATAACTTAAAGAAATCATTGACCATGTTGCCATGGAATAATAAAGGGTAGAATATAAGGAGAACGGCGGGGTAAAAAACTCATACTAATAAGAACTATTTTGTAGTGCCAGAGTATTTAAAATCAGAACATTTTCTCTGAACTCCTTTATATCACAGGCAGTTAGATACTCTCAGTTACCTAATATTGCAGTTTTACTTGTCATGAAGTAAAATAAAACTTTTAGAAGAGATAAGAAGATATCAGCCAAAAAAAAAATGCTACTTCTTTTTTAAGTAATATGTTCCAGTGGATCATCTCTGTTGTAGTTAAGTGTTTCTGCCTAATTTCTCCTTTAAAATTATCTGGTTCTTGTCATAACTTTCTCCACAAGATTAAAGAACTACTTAATACTTAGTTTATTCTACCCACAAAGGTACTTATGCACCACTATCAAACTGCCCCTCTAATCTTTTGATAGACTAAAGGAATTTGAGTTCTCCAGTGTGTCTTCTAACCGTGGCTTCACTGCTGAACTACTTCCATCTTTAGAAAGAGCCTTAAATAGTAAAGAAAACTCCCTCCTCCAGGATTTATTATTCCAATTCTCATTAATCTAAGAAAACAACACTATTCATATGTTGATCATAATATAAATGTAGTAGCTACGATTTAATCAAATTCAAATATTTACTTGGAATGCAAAAAATGCAGGCCTGATTCTCATTGACAGTATCATTATTAAGAAAAATACAGAAACCAAATTCACATTTTTAACTACTAACTGCTGATTATGTAATACTGAATTTTTTCTTATGTAATAATTATATACTTATTCCTTATAGTGCATGTGTATAAACTTTATATTGTGACACTGCATCAGTCTTTAAACATGTGAAAGAGCTTTATTTCTATATCCTAACTTTGTAAACTATGACTAGAAAAACTGTAAGAACAGTCTTTCTTTTTAGATTTCCTAAATAGTCCTCTTTTGCAGTTGGATGGAACATACTCAGTCTAGGTGCTTTTACTGTATCTAAGAACTCATGAGTCTCCAGAAGGAGGAGATATAAAGAGACACGTACAAACAAATTCTGTTATTTTTGTTAGCTTCTTTGTTTTAGATAATTATTTGTATCGTTAATTGTACTAATGATACAAAATGTGTCTGGCTTGTGGCTTGCTTTGATTTTTTTTTTTCTGCAATGGATTTCTTTACTCATATTCCTGTGCATTATAGTTATCTTCAAATTGTATTTTAACATGAATTATCATCTCAGATCTTTTGGAATCAGCACCAAAAACATACTATTGAATAGATCTTAATTTTTGACAAATGGTCTGATTAGAAGCAAATTCCTTGTGAAGCTGGTTTCTTCATCTTCCCAGCAGGACAGTCGAATATCTTTATCTCTATAGCAATATCTGCCAATAGAATTTTTTAAGCATTTAAGATTTTTTTTTCCCTGAATAATGTCGTTTGCCACATTCTTGTTCCTTCAATTATGGGAAAAAAATAAACACTAAAAAATGGGTTTAAGAGTGCTCTTGCTGTAGATCTACCTATGTTCTGATGATATTCTTCTGTAGGAAACCCCTTCCCTGGGAGCTTGTTTTTAAAATGTAGTGTTCCTGTTAGTGGTATATTTATTAAATAACAGGCTCACTCGTTCAGCATTTTGAGACATTTGTATCTCAGACAAGATGAATAGATTCATGGCAAGAAGCAGGTTTTGTCATTCTCCCTCAAGTTTGCAGGCACAGTCTACACTAGAGGAACTCCACCGCTTTCCAAAGAAAATATAGGTAGAATTTATTAGTGTAGGCTGAACAGAATAACATTTTTCACTGGGCCCTTTCCTAAGTATGGCTAGTATTCCTGACTAAAATAAATAAAGGGAGAAAGAGGAATCTCTCAGTCTACCTGTGTGGAAGGAGAGCTTCAGCTCATGGGTAGGCACCTGCATAGATATTGCCAAGCGTGCAGGTGACATTAGCCAGTGTTTGAACTAAACTAAAACCAACACCTTGTAGTGGCAAGTGTCAGACAGTGCGAGTACTCTACCTGGTTGCTCCCTCCTCTGTAGACCTCATTCTTCCCTATCCATTAGTATTCCAGCTAAATGAGAAGCCAGCTTGAAAAGAAAACTTTCTTCAACAGTCTATTTGAGAAGGAGGTTACTCATGCATGTGTGAAAATTATGATTTACACACATATACCATTGGGATAGATCTGACCAGATCTGTCATGTAGAGCCGACTTTATCTGTTTTGCCCTCCTTTCAGCCAGGCTTGATAATGCTGGTGTCAGTCTCAAGTGAAGCATGTGCCAGGTTACACATGGCTGGCAATGGCTTTGGAGAGCAGTTAATGGTGAAACTTGGGATGAAAATGTGCACCTTCTTTTTAAGGTGCTATTCGAACGATGGCCTTTCCATCACAGAGCACTGTGGGCTTCACTCTTACTCTCTTCCCACATAAAATGCATCAGGTGCCGTGAGCGTCTCTCACTTGGCAGCTTCTCCGTTGCATTCTTTGCAGGGGCTGCTTTGCCTTGTTCAAATGTTCCCAGTGCATTAAAATGAAATTGTCATTGCTGTGTAGTGCAACATAACATAGTTTGACACAGAGCGCCCGCAGCTACAGCAAACAGATTTTTATTGCATTTATTTTTTCAGAGACAAGAGTCTCTAAAGGCTCAGTGCAGACATTTGCTTAGCTTAATCTGAATGAAACCCAAGTGAATGGTGTAACTTGCTGTCTTTGGGCTGGTAGCAATGGCCCAGCCCACAATATGGTGATGCACCCAGAAGGATGAGTGTTTAATGATTACACCTGAAGCAAGCTGATAAAAGACTTTGAATTGCTCAAAGTATTAGTATTAAATAAACTTTTTTTTTTTTTTTTTTTTTTGGGGG